TTCATTTACTTCGCTATTACTGAATTTTATTCAAGTTTTGCCTAAGAACGGTGATTACAGCAATGGTTCAGGCTTGAGCCTCGGTTTTCTCATTTGATAGTGAACATTATTATGTGCCTAGCTTAGCTTTAAATTTATCAATTGTCAGATTTATAACAATCTAAATTTGCCAGTGTTTATAACTTCTAACTGCCGGCAACGTGTTGGATCTGATAAATAATAAATCACAAGGGGTCGATGATACCAAAGTGAATCATACTAGCAACCAAAAGATTAGGCTAAGTTACAAATTCAAGATAAGTTATTTTCTACAGTACAACATATTCCATTAAATATTGCTTTCAGAGTTGTCTGATGTTTTACATTTTTATGTTTTTATATATGGTGGTTCACAGGGTGGCGTTTTATCTCCCTTGCTCTTCGCGGTTTTTATAAACTCTATTTCCAATAACTTAGCTTCATCTTACTACCTTTATGCTGATGATTTGCAGATCTATGCTCAAGCACCCGTGGAACAACTAGGAGCAGCGATCTCGATTATCAACCGGGATATAGAGCAGATTTGTATGTGGAGCAGGCAACACGGGTTAATAGTGAATCCATCTAAAACACAAACAATCATTATCGGTGGCACTAGGACATTATCAAAAGTCGATTGGTCACATCAGCACCAAATATACTGCGATGGGGCCTTAGTTCCGATCTCGAACACCATTAAAAATCTGGGAATTCACCTCGACAAAAACTTGTCCTGGGGTCCGCAACTACAAGAAGTCAGTAGGAAACTGTTTGCTTCTGCTGGATCTCTGAGAAGGCTGCGTAACTTTTTACCAATTACGACCAAAATTGCGATTGCAGAATCCCTTCTTCTCCCAATCCTTGACTACGCAGATACCAGCTATCCCGATCTCACCGAAGACCAACTTAATAAGGTTGAGCGGCTCCAAAACTTTTGCATAAGGTTCATCTTTGGATTGCGCAAATTTTACCATATTTCTGAATTTCGGAATAAGTTTAACTGGTTACAAATTCGTCTTCGCCGGAATATTCATATCCTTTCACTATTATACAAAATTCTCTTTAATCCCAACATTCCCCTTTATTTCAAGGAACGCTTCAGATTCCTACGATTCCGATACGCATTCAAAGTCCTTAAGATCGCCAGAAAACTTGACTTTGGAAATGCCGAAGCACACCTCGACTTTTATGGACAAATCATTTACAGTGCAGTCTATACGCTTGTGGAATGCATTGCCACTGCCCATCAGACGTGCACAAACACTGCCTTGTTTTAAAAGGTTGCTGAAGGAGCATTTCCGAAGCTGCTAAGCGAGAGTCCCTTCACTCAGTCAGAAATCTTGTATTTATTGTCTCTTACTTCTATAGTCTCTGTTGAATGTATATTTTGTGTAAAGAATATATTATGTAGTGATGTGTGTATGTGTTTAGTGTATATGTTTAAATTAGTTTGTATAATCTAATAGTCTTTAGTCCTTATTTACAAAATACTCAGAAAACCCCGATCTACAAACTGCTACCCCCTATCTCACTCCTATTCTCCTTCTCCATCCAGTGGTTGCCTGGAAGAGATCGCAAAACGCGATAAAGCCGCCAATTGTACAAATTTCAATACTGTACTCTCCATGTTTCATTTATTAAACTTTAGATATAAGACACCAATGTACACAAACTGATTTATTCTTTTTTACTATGTTTTTTTTATAATAAAGAGTTATCTATCTATCTATCTATATGCTTAGGGTCTTCCTAAGGTACATTCTTAAGGTCATTTTCATTCCATAATTATGGTGAAAAAAATTAAGACGTCTTGGTATTTAATAGGCATTACATAGCCTGTAAATACGGCCAGAGCAACCTCATACTACACGCAAATCAAAGTAACGTCACTAAATTATATTTAAAGATATAAATAAAAAAATAGCAATAAATAAATAATAGACTTCAAAAATAGCGTATTTATATTTTTAGCGGCGATAGGGTGTCCATATTTTAGTTTTGAAACGTTTGACTAAGTTTGATTTTTGTAAATATCAATATTAATTGCACCCTATGAAATCCAGTGGTTGGGTACGGCTATAACCGCAGAGTGGTTAGTACACTTCATAATACATATGCATATATCTTGTAAAAATTTGACATACTCTTAAACGCGATGTGTGACTGCATAATGTTGGTAGATAGTCGTATCAAACTTTTAATATAAAATTAGGTAATGAAGGTTTGACACCACAACTTATCTTTACAATATTATTACTAACAACGTAACCTGAAGATGATCTACCTAATGATGTTGTTTTATTTCTTTAAATATTCAGATTTAAATTTTTGCGCATGACTGTTAATTACTAACTCGATAGCCCTGGAGTTACTTCATGTCTTTCTCTTGTCGAGTTACTTTCTCTCTTACTTCAAATTTGATATTTTCAAAAATTAGAAATAAACCGCGAATCGTAAAACAGTATTTTTTTCCTTAAAGTGTTCATAAAAACATCGATAAAAATATGTAATGCAAAGGGTTTTCCATAATGTTTTCGGCGTGGTTGCTTTTTACCTTACATCTCGCATTTGAACTGAAAGGAACCCGGGGGAGAATTCACAAACCAGCCTGATATTGATTGATAGGCCTAAGTGTATAATAAAAAGCCTGAAGGTATGTAATTTATTAGACTGGTTGGAGGAAACTCTTTTTGTTTTGATGGGACATTACACCCGTTTCAGGCTTAGCTTAATATTTTTATAATCTAACTTTCATGCTAATCATGGAAGAGCCATATTTCGGCACATGAGGATCGGCTCGACAGTGTTAGGCATTTTTTTCATAGCTTTACAATGAGTGAGTCGGGGGTCCTGCCTCCCCTACCTCTAATTCTCGGAAGAGTAGGGAGAGCTCTCAAAGGGCGACAACACACTAGTGCACATGTCGATGGCGGCGGTAATCACTTACCGTCAGGTACCTGTCTAATTGTTTGCTAGAGAACCACCATAAAAAAAAGAAATAGAATTTTTAATTTATTGTTGAAATATGCAAAAGGATTTAACAAACAAAATAATTGTTCTCAAAGGCACAGCCTGTTTCTAACCATCAATTTGTAGTACAAGGAATGGCAAAATTCTAAAAACGGCACCACAAATGGTAGATGAATACGAAGTGGCTCGGCCCGTGACTCCAGATATTACGTATTCAGACCTTGTTCGAGGAACTTTTCCATTCTGAGGTATAATTTCACTTGTGAATAATTTCCTATGCGTTCCGTTGAATAACTTGACGAGGTCTCTTGTTATGAAAATTTATAAGCTTATTCGGCCTATGAGATGTCCAGCAGGGTCAAAGGTTTTATCTGTCGATTATCTCTGGTGTCCAGAGTTCTATAGAAAGATTTGGAGGCGTACTTAAATATTTCTTAAGACTTCTTTGCAATAATATTCGTTTTATTAAATCTATAAGTACAAAACGGGGCACAGTCTGAGATTTCCAAATTCTAGCTCATATTTTTTCTTTCAGTAACTGTGACGTCGACACCTGAGCATGGTGATTTGATGATACGGGTGATGACATAAGGGAGATAAATTGTCAATAATAATACATCAGTTCCTTTTCAGACTATACTAAGTTAAACTAATAAGTTAATTAATTCTACAGTAATTTGGATGGAACAGATGTAGCTTCTGTCTCTCAACCTAGAAAATAGTTTTTCACGAGTCCTATACCTTATTGGTCGACAATAATTTTAAAATTTCAACTAAATACCTATGCAGAGTTTAAAGTACAAAATCTTTTTTGAACAATTTACCCTTTTTTATATGTAAAATTCTTTTGCTGAACGATTCGATCGGGAAGATAAGACCTTGGTAAGCACCAATACAAAAAAACTGCCGCTACAAGCAAAAATTGTCATTGTTTATTACTTATTGAATGACTATTGTGTTATCCTTATCGCGCTCACAGTATAAGGGGTCAAGTCAAAATTTTGGTGAAGTGTTATTTTGAATGATAAGGGTACAAAATGAAATTCTCTACCGGTTATCACTGATAGACAAAGAAAATCATCATCATAATGACTTGGTAAAATATAGTTGTGCCTCTTTCACACTCTTCCTGCTCGTCTCCCGTTTTTAGGGTTACAAGCTCACAAGCAGTAACGTTAAAACTTTTTCTATTCGTGTCTGTGAAAAAAACACGGGTGAGTTTTGTTCTAAACTTTTTATATTATATAGAATAATTTGTAGTTGCACCTTTATATTATACTAAATTTAGTAAATTTTTGGATCTGGTTCATAATGTATCGCTATATTGGCAAAAAGTGAAGATGTTTTTTGTACTATATGGGCTTAACTTGAAAGTGTTTTTTTAATCAATTGTCATTTATGGAATTTATTTAAATTATCATTTTTTTTCATGGCTATTTATAGTATAGTTATCAAAGAATAAATCTGCAAAATTTCACATTTATAACTAAATAATAAGCATTTTATTCGAAAAATATTCTAGAACTTAAGAACCCAGAATCTTTAAACGCGATTTCCCAAAAAACTACTTTTTGTATTTTGCCTTTATATTACTAAGGGTCATTACATGAGAATTTATGTTTAATAGATCATCATTATTAATAACTCACTGCTAGACATAAACGTCTCCTTAGCAAGGAGGCAATAAGAACAATAATAATAATATAATGAAGTTAGTTAAGTTTCATTCATAAAATAAAATATTTACCTGTACCTGCAAACATTAACAATAAATAATTACATCAACATACACCAACTACAAAAACATAGAGATAACGATTTACGAGATATTCGAGATTCCCGATTATGAATGTCTGAAGTACAATATATTATGTAATTGACACATGTTATACATGTAAAACAATTATGATGTAATACACGGAACACTACCAAAGACCTTGTCACGGCTGTGTCCTCTTCATAGATAAATTAGTCGTAGACCGTTCGTTGTGCAGCTATGCTGTTGAATAAAAATGAATATCAAATCGTTATTGTTACCGGTATTATTTGTCAGCAATGTTTTCGCGTATAATATACTTGTGGTGTTTCCATTCCCTGGTAAAAGTCATACCATTTTAGGAGAAGGTTATGTGCGGCATTTATTAAAAGCTGGCCATGAGGTAAGTGACTTTTAATAATAAGTTAGCGTTGGATTAAGAATATGGCAATAACTCTACTCTTTTTACACAAGAGACGATTTCAAACAATTGTAAAAAAATATGGAATAAAGATATTTTGAGTTTGAGTTTACTCTCATTGCCAAGGTTAAATTCATCAATTTTTGGGAGCATCTTATGAGTCTTTTTTATGTTATCAATTTTAACGATATTAAAGAAAAGTTATACAAATATTATGGAATTAAATAAATAAATTAATAACACCGACCTTAATTCTAATATTTAAGGTCATAATTTTTTATTTAGGCTGACTAACTCCTAGCCGGCTGGCTCCTCCGACTCATATTCAAATCAAATCAAATCTTTATTTGCCAACCAAGTGTACATCATATCTCATTATATAACTATACAAACTTGGTGCACATAAATAATAATTTAAATTATATAATATTCTACAACGCACGTCGTCGTCATCCACGTCGGGCACTTCGAGCGCCAGAGGTGGAGCCATCTGTGGTGGAGTATGCTCCACCACTCGCGATAGGAACAGGGAGCCGACGACCCCCTCAAGCAGCTCTGGCTGAAGATTTATTTAAGCAAGATTTAGGCAATTTAGGAAGATTTATTTAGGCATGCAATGTTTCAGAAAACGATGTCAGGGACAAGGTGAAGTGACACTATGTGGGACGAATAGTCGGGAAGAGAGAGAGAGATGTGTAAATGAACTTATTTATCTGTACATGATGATAATTCAAAAAATTGAAGGGGTGTTCTAGGACAAACTGTAGCACGCTTTCTTGATGGTTTTACCTTGAAGAATGAGTGGCCAACTCATTCTTCTAACACACTGACGATTTGTCGATCCAAAGGTTGCCTATAAGGGATTGCTATTAGCAATAACGCCACCCATTGCAAATATCCGTCTGCAATATTTGACTTACATACTTTAGTGTTCAAAAAAACATGTTCTAGTCTATTTTATTCTAAATCTTATGATCGTCGTTCTTCTAATAACAATCCTTAAAGACTCATAGATTTATTAAAAAAAAATGGTTCCTTGATTTCTACTGATTTTGAAGGTTTATCGTTTCTTTTTTCAGGTTACATATGTTACTCCAGCCCTTTTAAAGCCCCATCCAAAGCTAAAACAAATAGATGTATCTTCTAACATAGATGGATTTGAACAAGGTTGGTATTTATGTTCCGTCAATATCTTATCCATGTAATACAGATTTATTCTTATTTCCGTTGCTAAAGCGGTAAAATGGACCATCAGTTTTATCAAAACCGTATTTCGAAAATATCAAAACTATTTTTACGTCTCTTGCCTAAGATTATGATCCCTTAATTTTGTTTGGTCTCAGATGGTTTATCGTAACATCAGTAACTACAAAGATTTCCTAGCAAATAAATATTTATTACTATTATTATGATAAGCAAAACGAAATATCGGGAATTAATTCTCGTCGGTATTAGTATTAGGTATATTAAGCAATCAAGATAAAAGGAAACAATTTAATTTCAAATTTAGAATGATGTCGCAAATTTTTAATTAATAGATAAGTACACCCATACCATAGATACGTCATTTCAGTGTATGTTAACATTAGTAATCAGTTCATATAAGATATGACATTAAACTTAGCTAGAATTAACTATCTACATTTTATTAAATCGATTGAGACTGCCTAAAAATCAATGTAAAATAAATTCTGATTTTCAAGTCTTGATAACATGTTAAGAACTTCCTAAAATTTAAATGACTATTAATTGAACTATCATTATTCATTGCTTCCAGATACTAAAATACTAAGCTTCGATACGTTTTTAAAAGAGAAAATTGCAATGGATTCAAGTATGGTATACGATTTGATGTTAAAAATGTATAATAGATCCATAACACATGAGAACGTTCAATACTTCCTCAAAGAAAGTAAAGACAAATATGATCTTGCTATTGTTGAATGGTTGTATTCAGAACTTTATACCGGGTAAGATGAAATACTTATTTTGAGATTTTTCAAATATAAAAATAGTTCTTAGTTGATAACCGTGTAAATTTTTGACACTCTCTATATTTTTGTAGGTTTGCTGCCATCTTTAATATCCCACACGTTTATGCATCATCTCTAGAGCCTCATCCTGATATTTTGAACTTGATCGACGAACCACAAAATCCCGCATACTTTCCAGAACACACGTCACCCGTTAGCTTACCGTTGACTTTTGCAGAACGAGTTAGTGAATTGTGGAATCTGATCTATTTATATTTTGTGCGATGGTATGTAAATCTATTGAAAATTTTCATGTACGTATATTAAAAATAGTTTTTATTAATAAGTAGTAAATTTTAATTTTCCAGGCATCTAAAAGACACAGAAGAAAAAGTATTTCAAGATGCCTTTGGCCCAGCTGCAATAAAAAGAGGGATAAATTTACCAACTTTAAATAAAATTAAATACGAAACTTCTTTGGTGTTTGGTAATTCTCATGTTTCAACAGGTGAAGCTTACAAGCTTCCACAGAATTATATTCCAATTGCTGGATATCATATCGACGACCAGAAAAAACCTTTACCAGAGGTTAGCCATCATAACTACAAAATAAAATTATCTTTAATGTAAGATCTTGTCATTTAAGACAATGATATATAGAAGAAGTTGGAGAAGAATTCGAAATTCTGGCTTTTATTCATAATTATCTATTTTATAAATAAAATCAATTTCCCTTTAAAGTAAAATATATATATTTTAAGCTAATAAAACTAAAGTTAACGACTTTCATTGTTTGTACGTCAGTTAATTACCTTTTATTGTACACTTTTTAAATATAAATGAAAATATTTGGTTATCAATTTTCACTTTTGGCTTCATTTAATTTTAAAATATTAAATAACTGTTTTCAGGATTTGCAAAAAGTTATGGATAATTCACCTCATGGTGTTATATACTTTAGTATGGGCACTATGATGAAAAGTAAAACCATGCCACAAGAATTTAAAAGAGGTTTATTGCAAGTATTTAGCGAACTAAAACAGACAGTGATTTGGAAGTTTGAAGAAAAAATGGATAATGTACCTAAAAATGTACACATCGTACAGTGGGCTCCACAGCAGAGTATTTTAGGTTAGTATTTATAAATAGACCTTTGATCCACTTAAAATGATAAGTCCTAGCCTTAACAGTAGTACAACATAAGCTTACAAAGCAAATAATTATCATATAAAAGATTGAATAAATCGGTTTGGCCTAACCAGTTTCAAACTTGACTAACTCAGAGTATACAGATTCAATAACATAGTTGCACTTAATTATAGTTGCATTCAATAATATTCTAACAATATAAGATACTAACAAAGAGGACTTAAAATTAAATAATATTTAATATTAATAATACTAAATTAGTATAGATGAATAGGCCAACTGAACTCAGTGCTCCAATGAGACAGCGAGTTTTGCGTAATAAACAAAAATATCATAGATGTAGGCAATGTTTAAATTTTTATTGATTTTTCTAGGCTTTCGCTAGGGCCATTTCGGTTAAATTTAAATGGGACCACCAGGGAAGTTATATCTTTCAAAGGGTAAAACAAAAAAAAAAAAAAAACCAAATTGGTTAAGACGTCTTGGAGTATTCGGTGAACATACATTCTCCTCTTTTTTTTTAAGTCAGTTAAAAAGAGAACTCACTTGCAACTCTTGAGTTGTGTCTTTTCATGGACGACGGTAGTCACTTACCATTGGGTAACTCGTCTGCTCGCTTGTCCCCCTTGTACAAACATATAAAGTTAAATATTCTAGTTCCCCACACATATACAAAGAGTAAATGTAGAGAAAGTACTTAAGTTAATACGAAGAAAATACTCATACCTACAATTTTTTTATGGGATCCACAAAATGCAATAATCGATTTGACACTGATTCTTTCAACATGATGCTTGCAATCTTTCAAAATTTGGATAATCTATGCTAACTAGTTATTGCCTTGTAATTTTTAGAAGAACTTTTAAATATTTAGTCATAAAACTTATTGGATTCGAAAAATGTACGATTGTAAATTTTAATAATATTATCAATACTACTCTAGGTAAGCTACGAACATAAAAGGAAAAAAATATTTTTGAAATGAAAACTTCTTTAGGCGCGTTGGACATTTTTAAACAGACACCAAGCAAGAATGTAATATATATTTATATATATATATATATCTATTTTAATATAATTATATATAATATAAACAAATATTGTGTACATACATACATCATAGATTATTCATATCAAAACTTTTCGAATCGAAAATAACAAAAAAAATCCTGTTATAATCAATTTTTTTTCAAGTTTTCACTTCTGTCGGCATCCTCGGAGTGCCACTATTTTTTTTAACGGTGTTTCATTATTAATAACACATAAATGTTTAAAGAATGGCAAAAATAAAACATACCATTATAAAATATTGAAAAAAAAACACATATAGTTTTTAAAAGTAAATGAGAAATTATTACATTTCATTGATGCTAAGAATCACAATTACAGTTACGCGCCATTTGCACGATTGAAAGAAAGTATAGATTTTATAATATTTATTCCGTCAGTGAATAAATTTCTCTCATTAAAACATATTATATGAATAACAAAACTGAGATTTCGAGAATACTTTTCGTTATATTTCGTATATCATGTCATATTCAGATAGCAATAATGAAGTAGAACAGAAATAATTTCAATTTAATCTGATTGAGAGACATGGGAATTTTGTCATCAAACACAAAGAAAACAATCTTTGATGGGAAGTTTTAATGCCTTTGGTTACTTTTTTCTATTATTATCTAGCTAAACTCTTTTACTAAGAAGAGCTTTATCTCTTAGAGAAACAACTCCAATGATGATATTATACTGAAAAATAACTGAATATCTTTGAATTCCAGCTCATCCGAACTGCATACTCTTCATCACACACGGAGGTCTTTTATCGACGACAGAAACTTTGCATTATGGTGTACCAATCATCGGCATTCCGCTATTCGCAGACCAACACATAAATGTGGTTAGAGCTGTTCAGAAAGGATTTGCGCTACAAGTAGACTTGGATTATGATACACCAGCAAAATTGCAGATAGCCATTCAAGAGATCTTATCTAATTCGAAGTAAGTAGTATATAACTATCGGTCTTACTTTAAATATAGGTTTAAAATTCATACAAATACTAAAAGATTTTGCAAAACTTAAAACAAACCCTACACCAACACATCTGGCCAGCATTGTATAGTAGTCCTAAACCTCCTTTCTAAGGAGAGGCCTACATATGTCCAGCAGTGGACTAGTAAAAGCAGTAGCAGTAGATGATGAATAGGTTTTAGATATTAGGTAGAGTTAGCATTTTTTTCTCATCAATGGCACTAAATAGAACGAAATGGAAGCATCAGAGGGAGTGCTTCTATTTCTCTTAACAAGAAAGAGGGACCGAGAAATAGTGAAAGAGGAACTAATTTCGTTTATTTTTGCTTTATACGTTAAAATTGATCTTATTTTCACGTATAAAGCAAAAATAGTCAAAGCGTCAGAAATTTGTTTTCTGTTATTTTTAAACGACTTTAAAACAGAAGTTGGTTTTCAATTTGACGCGGACTTTTAATATTAATAAGAATGTATTTCATGATAATATTTTTTTAAAATTTAGGCATCTCAATGATGGTTATCTTATTTTTTTAAATTAATTCTAATAAATGCAGTTTTTTAAAAGTAATTGTTCAGTTGATTTTGGATAGTACTCTTAACCACTTTTGAAATGCTCAGGGGTATGAAACTTATGTTCCATACTTCAATATTGCTAGCAATAATTTGTAAGATAAAACAAGTTTTTATTTTAAAAAAATTATTGCATACGCTGTATATTTTTACATTTTAATCCTAACTTTACAGATATCGTGAAAAAGTGAAGCAACTTTCTTTTATATATCACCATCGGCCAACATCGCCTGGTCAAGAAATCCTTCATTGGGTTGAACATATAATCCAAACAAAGGGTGCCAGCCACCTTCGATCACCAGCTTTTAATGTACCTTTATATCAAAAGCTCTACTTAGATTTGTTGGGATTAATAGCAATTGTAATAGTTATCATAGTTCATATATTAAAGAAAATTAAATCAATTCTGTTAACTACATCAAAGAAAAGTGAAAACTTTAAGAGTAAAAAGAAGCATAAGTGATTGCAATTTCTAATTTACTTAAACGTATCGCTTTCTTAATAAATAGTAAAAAAAACACCATGATATTGTTTTATTTCCCGGAGTATATTGTTTGTTATGAATATTTATATATAAGTGAGAAAATTTCTCTGTTTTCTCTTGCACCTACGGTGGTCAACTGGCGGTGAATGCCTTGGGCATGAAGTCCGCCTGTGTACAACTTGTACATTAGGTTAAATAAATAAATAAAAATAAAATTTCATATTACCATTATTTAGTTTTTAGTTTAAGTATAATGATTTTAATTTATTTATTCCTGTGATAAATTAAATCAAGTGTGAAACATTTATGAGATAATAACCCAAGAAACTTTTCAGCGGCTTTCATAGGGCTTCGAAAACGTCGACTGACTTTTATAGTAGCGAAAACATTTTGACAGCAAGAATCCTATTTATTTGGGGATAGTATTGAACTGCAAATTAATATAAAAAATCCAATCCTAATCAAAAATACTAATTGCACAGCAAAATAGTTTTCTGAAAATATTATTATTTTAACAACAATTTGAGTTCGTGACGCATCACTCTTATTTGAAAAGCGGAACTTTTCATAACCTAACCTACTATTCTAGAGACAGCTCGTTTCTATTAGCCATTCGTTTTCTTGTGAGGTCACAGTTCTAACCGAGCCTAACCTACTTTTATGAAAGCAACTCGTTTCCGACGGGGTCGCCTAAAGCCTTAAAAAAATAGGTATTGATTTACTAAAAGTACAACGCTGGCCAGAAGGTTTGCAAAAATAGTTATTTTGTTATAGTAAGTTATGTGTAAGTATTACGTTTGTATGCTACTCAAATATTCAAGAAAAGAGCGTACACCTTCGTAAACGGCCGGCAATGCGTTTGTGACTACTGAGTTGCAGACGTTCATGGCCGGCGATGGACTGGCGAGGAGACCCGTCTGCTAGTCACCCCCCTCTAACATATAAAAAATACCCAGAGTATTTTCCCCTCTTTTCTTGAAGGTTTGAGTAATTTGATGTACAATCAGTATAATATACTATATATAATATATGTAATATTATCTGATATGAAAATAATATATTTTCATACATTAAGTAATTTTTTAGTAGTACATTTCAGGAACAATTATAATACACTGTTGATGTATATTTTAAAACTATTTTCATTTTGTTGAACAGTTGGTTTATTTGCAGTGAAATAATTTCTTTAGGTAAAAATTATTTAATTAATGAAAATAAATTGATGAGTAATAAGTTCTTTGGTGTGCATTTAAAAATATGTTTTTATTTGGTCTAGGCACAACAGTTGCAAAACATTATAATTATTTAGTAGGAAGGTACTAAATATATAAAATGTTAATTTGATTTGTGTACGCTACAAAAACTCACAGGGTTTAATGTAATGGCTGTAAAAAACACTGTATTAATGTTAATCGAGAATAGAGATAATGTAAACAAATAAATAAAATAAATTTTAATACACTGTAACAATCTTTGTTTGTTAAACGTAAAACAAGTTACATACCTTGTATACATTATTTCAGTTAAAAGGCGTGCCACAAGAAGAAAGTGACACTAGATTTAAACCAAATTTGACATTAGACATTTACAACTTCATTTTATTGTTATAAAGAAATTAATGAACAATAAAATCTTTAATTAAGCTTCTTTTAAACAATGTTAAAAAAATGTAATAATGTCTTGCATTTAAATTCTTTACAAAATATTTTAAATTGCGAATAGAGATGAAAGAGAAATACTGTCAAGAGACATTTTTTAATACAGTTCACCAAAGTGTATACGGTTTATCTGAGAAAGAAATTAAAGTAGTATTATTCTTAGAGTATACGGATACACCAGTCTAGTGTCTAACTAAACATTATTTAGAGAAGATGAGTGTTAAATGCATCATCTTCGAATGCCTCTCCGATGAACGATAATCTCTCTAATAATCTCTTAAACTCGAAAAATAGTGACATATTATTCTTGATTTAGTTTCACTATTCGTTCATTTATCCGTGTGGTGACGGATTAAGAATACGGAGTGTCATCACTCCTATTCATCCTGTGCGTGGTGTAAGAGCCGACTAAGGGAGCAAACTACGCAGGGCAACAGCAATGCAAAGAGAAGGAAAACTTGACACAAACCCTCTACCAACCCATCTGGCCACCGTGGTACAGTAAGTCAAAACCTTTTTTCTAAGAAGAGGCCTATGTCCAGCAGTGGCCTATTTAAGGTTGTTGATGATGATGATGATTCGTACGAGTAAATTTAATGATTTTTCAATCGCATTGATTGCAATTTTTTTGTGAGGGCTATTCCGAGTCGGCAAACAAACAAAAAACAATCTATTGGAACAATACATCTGAACAATACAACAAATGGTTTAAATATCACCATACTGACAAGGATGATCCTAAGCAGTACATGGACCATTATATAAACAAGACTATACCTTTTATACAAACTAGAAACCATCAAACGTTTCTTATGTAAATTGTCTTCCTTATCAATGTATGCGTACGTTCTATAAAAAGTGATGATTTTTTAATAGATTACTTAATAAACATATATTTGAAAAACCTGCCTCTAAACTCAAAAAAGTAACAAGTCGTTTCGAAGTCAATGTTTAGGATTTTCTGCTAGATAATATACATATGGTAAGTCTAAACAACAGGCACAGTTAATCGACACCATTCCCTATATTATTATGAATGACCATTGCTCAGTAGTAGATTATGCTTTATACGCGTGGTTAGGTTAAATACTCTAGAGATCTAACTAATTTGGATTCACAGGCAATTTTAAACACTTAGTAAAAATGTAATATTATTTAATTTTATTTGTTTGTTTGTGAGTGGTGGTTTGTTGTTTCGGAATCTTTGTGACCACGGACATTCTAACTTTAATAATAGTGCATTAATCCAATCCTTTCATATTCCTGCACACAAATTGAGTATTTCTACTAAAAATACATTTTGGATTTATTGGTCAGCAGCGCAAAGATATGATTTCAAGAAGCTTTGGATATACCTATATAAATTTTTAATACTTTATACACAAGTGTGGGTTGTACAATGGCGGACTTAATACTGGACAGGTAGACTGGAAGAAAATGCCTGTTGCCACACACTACCTTAGGGTGGTTTTTTAAGTTTCATTCTTAGATTTAATATTTTACGTCTTGATTTTTCGTTTCCACAGACTATTTTTCAGTTTTTCTTGCAAGAGTGTGTCTGTGAGACAATCATGTGATCATTGTCTAATCAGTTTATTCATCTTTTAACCGCTGTCGCAAGAAGAATGTCCTATAAATTTCTGAGTGTATCTTTGTCTGTAAGCGTCATCCTCAGTGGACAGACCTTATTTGACCTATTTTTTAATTCATTCCTTCAATTTGTTCAGTCGTTCGAAGATCGTAGGTTCTTTTCTAATCGTTGAAGAAATTTTCAAGTATTTCATAGTAATTTTATATTTTCATATTTATTTACATATCATAGGAACGAACTGCTAAAAGCCTTTCAAAAGCCAAGGTGTACTCAATATTGTTCATGTAGTGACGGATTAAGAATAGGGAGTGGCACCACCCCCATTCTTCCCGTGGATGTCGCAAGAGCAGACTAAGGGCGCCAGCTCTGCAGGATAACAGCACTGCACCATCAGGCCAGCGTGGTATAGAAGGCCAAAGCCTTCTTTTTAAGGAGGCAGCAGTAGACTATTAAAGCCTGTTGGAAAAGGATCAATAGATACATACTGCAATGGCTGATTATAACATGTAATTAGCGTTAAAAAAATAACTTTACCAGTAAAATTATATAATCACCGTAATAAAAATATTTCCAATACTATGTTAAAAATATTAGAATATGCGATAGTGAAAGGTCGCGGTATGTCAATGAGAAGAAACTGTTTTATGTGCTCATTGGTCAAAGTATTATTTCTTATCACTATCGCCATACAATAAACGTGTGTGGTATAATTCTATGTATACATATATTATAAAATTGAAGAGTTTGTTTGTTTGTTATTTTGAACGCGCTAATCTCTAGAACAACTAGTCTGATTTGAGTAAAAACAGTATTAGATAGTCCATTTATCGTGGAAGGCGAGGTATCAATGAAAAATGTTGCAGAAACGGGGGAAAATTATTTCTTTTGAGTTGCTTCTGTTGCGTTTCCTGCCTTAACGGTTAAAGTTTCGCAAAAATTATGTATGAAATCATTATTCCCTTGTAACCGTTAAATCGGTACAGGGTCTCCCAGGATACATTAGTAGTATATAGTTTTTTAATTAATTTAAAAACTATATACTATTTATTTCGGACAGTGCAAGAAATTTTAACATTTAGAATGATTAAGAAATCTTAAAGTTTAGTAAACAAAAAAATTTAGCTGTCAATCCTGGAATCTATTCGTAAAAGTCAAAATAATGTCGAGGCGGCGACAAGTTGCTCCGGATCGGGTCAATTTTTATTGTATTTCCTAACTTCCCGACTTTTATTTGCGTTGTATATTGAGGGTATAAATACCAAACAATTGATTATAATAAAATTTGTTATCTTTTAATTGAAATTGAAAACACTGTAGTATAGAATTTGTGTATGTACCCCGTGGTTCCCACTGCCAAGTTAAAGGACAAGTTACACCTCACCTGCATTGGATTCTTCTTATTAAAACCTTAACATTTTGGATAGTAATGAAGATATTGAGGGGACCGCTCACGTCATCGACGAAATGTACGATTAACGCCCACATTGGATGAAGTCTTTCGATACCCTTCAACACATAAATAAAGCTAAACTATCGCTAAAAGATTTTAGATATGATATTTATGAAGGTTTACCTTGAGCTGGTAGGATATTATTACAGGAGAAACAAGTGGATATAGACAAGCGGCAAAAAACACAGAAATCAAAACCTGCAACTAATAGACGACGACGACTAGAGACGAATAGTATTCGCTTTGATAATATTTTTGTATATATTGGCCTGTCCGTGTG